AGACCACAGTACTCTTAGCATTCTTCTCCAACACCACAACTCAAAAGCATCAACTCTTTTTTGGTCTTCCTTATTTACTGTCTAGCTCTCACATGCATAAGAGGTGACTGAGGATACCATGGCTTGGGTTGGGTACACCTTAATATTCAAGGAGACATCTTTGCTCTTCATTACTTGAAAGAGGTCTTTTGCAGCAGATTTGCCCAATGCAATACATCATCTGATGTCTTGACTGCTGTTTCCACTGGTGTTGGTTGTAGAACCAAGTAATATGATATCCTTGACAACTTCAATCTTTTCTCCATCCACTGAGAAGCTGTTTATTGGACCAGTTGTGAGGATTTTTTTATTTCTTTATATTGAGGTGTAATCCATACTGCATACTGTATTCTTCAATCTTCATCAGTGTTTCAAGTCATTCTCACTTTCAGCAAGCAAAGTGGTGTCATCTGTGTATCACAAGTTGTTAATGAGTCTTCCTCCAATCCCAATGCCATCCATGTTCTTCTTCATATAATCCAGCTTCTCAGATTATTTGCTCAGCATACAAATTGAATAAGTATGGTGAAAGGATACAACCTTGATGCATGCCATTAGAGAGATGCAAACCAAAACAGCTGATACCATCTCACTCCAGCAGTAATAGCAAAGTTCAATAAGACAGAAAATAACAAATGCTGGTGATGATATGAGAACCTCTAGTGGTGCAGGACCTCAGGCATTTGACTGCTAACCAGAAGGCTGGTGGTTCAAATCCACTAGCCAGTCCTCAGAAGGAAGACTGAGCAATCTACTTCTGTAGAGATAGCACCTTGGAATCAACTCAATGGCAGTGAGTTTGTTTTGGTTTTGGTTTGATGAGGATGTGAAGAGACTGAGACTCTTATACATGGCTGGTGGGATGGTAAAATGATACAACCACTGTGGAAAATGGTATGCCGATTCCTTAAAAAGTTGGAAACAAATCCAGCAATCCCATTACTAGGTATATATCCTAAAGAAGTGAGAGCCAGGACATGAATAGATATATGTACACCCATGTTCATCACAGCACTATTCACAATAGCAAAGAGATGGAAACAACCTAGGTGCCCATCAATGCAAGAACGGATAACCCAACTATGGTACATGAATATTATGCAACATTAAAGAATAATGTACAATCCATGAAACACCTATAACATGGATGAACTTGAAGGATCTTATGCTAAATGAAATGAATCAATCACAGAAAGACAAACATTGTATTATTCCACTATTGTAAAATGTCAAGGAAAAGTTCACATGGAAGGAATCTTTCTTTATTGGTTACCAGGGAGGGGAGGGGACACAAAATGCAATGCACTGCTGTTGAGTCAGATCCAACTTGTAGCGACCCCTCCTTGGGTTTCCAAGGCAGTATCACTACAGAAGTAGATTGCCCAACCTTCCTTCCAAGGAGTGGCTGGTGGATTTGATTTGAACTGCCAGCCTTCTGGTTAGCAGTCAAATGCCTTATGGACTATGCCACCAAAGCTCCCACTGGCATAACATACTACACAAAAACACTGTTCTACATCCTACTTTGGTGAGTAGTGACTGAGGTCTTAAAAGCTTGCAAGCAGGCATCTAAGATGCAATCATTGGTCTCACCTCATCTGGAGCAAAGAAGAATGAAGGAAACCAAAGATGCATGGAAACAATTAGTCCAGAGGACCAATGGACCATGTAAATCTCAGCCTACATGACCCTGAGACCAGAAGAACGAGATGGTGCCCAGCTACCACTGTCAACCGCTTTGAAAGGGATCAGCATAGGAGATCCTAGATAGAGTGGGAGAAAAATGTGGAACAAAACTCACAATCATAAAAAAAAGACCAGGTTTACTGATCTTATAGATACTTGTGAAGCCCCCAAGATCATGGCCCCTCATCACTCTTTGGGCCTGGAATTGAACTCACTCCCATGGCTTCCAGCCAAACAGTAGACAGAGTATAAGGTGAACATTTACACCAGGTAGGTACGCTCCTTAGAAGCATCAACTATAGGAGATCAGAAGGGCAGTAATTATACAGGGAGATATCTCAGAGAGCAGTAATGCACAGGAAAGAAGGACACAGGGAAGAAGTAACCACAGGGAGGAAATGGGAAGAGAGCTGTTACATTACGGGGAATGCAATCAATGTCATGAAACAATATGTGAATGAATTGCCGTGTGGGGAATGAAATTGTTCTGTAACTTTCAATCAAATCACAATAAAAAATAAGATAAAATACAAAAAGATTCAATAGGAGAATCCTGATGAAAAGGGGAAAAACAACAAACAGAATTTCAATTTCAAATTCTCATGGGAACTAAACTTTCTGGAGCCACACAGGTTAGATAAATCCCCGAAACTACTTCAGTGAGGTCCCAGGAAAGATGAAAGATAAACACAGGTGCTAGTCAAATATCATGACCTAGAAGTCTCAAAGTCAGAGGTCTTACTTTGTATGGTCACAGTGGACCCTTTTCAGATTATGATAAATCTACAGAATAACCAACAGGCATCTATATATAAACTTTTCGAAGCCCATAAACTCCATCTTAAAGACCCGTGTTCTTAGGAAATTTCTGGAAAGATACAAATAAACTATTAACACAGTAGCCCCAGAGAAGGAAGGGCAGGCAGTTTCATTATAAACCTTTTACACTTTGAATTCCAGCTACCTGGAAGCCTTGGTGGTGCAATGGTTAAAGTGCTCAGCTAGTAACCGAAATGTTGACAATTCAAATTCACCAGCCACTCTGCTGAAGAAAGATGTGGCAGTTCTACTCTATCCTGTAGGGTCTCTGTGAGTAAAAACCAACCTGATGGCAATTGGTTTGGCTTTTGTTTTTTTGCATAAGCATACCTTGGGGCTCACTGAGATCCAGCACAGAGGACAGCAGCACCATGAAGCATTGCTATCTGGGAAGAATGAGGATGAGGCTGAGGAGTGGACTTTCCGAGGAGGCCTTCTTGAGGGGGGACTTGCAAAAGCCACCAAGAGGACTAAGGTCCTTACCTAGCAGCTGTGGTGACACAGAATACCACTCCACAGGAGGCAGGACACCTGGTTCTATTTCTCTGCCACTAACTTGTTGTGTGACCTTGGACAAGTCAGGTCACCTCTCTGGGCCCATTTCCTCATCTGTAAAATGAGGGAATTTGGTTAACTTAAAACACATCAACCAGGTACCAAGCTGATGCTGTGAATAATACAAAGATGGATACGATAGTCATTTGATCATAAAACACTGAACAACTACTCAGTTTACTGGGCATTGCAGTTACAGGGACGAATAAGTCTACAACCCTGCCATCAAGTCATTCGCAACCTGGTCAGGGAGACAGTCTGTAAGCAAACAAAGGCTTCAGTGCAGAAACAGGGTATACGCACACCAAGGAAGGAGGCACCTTTTCTGGGGAGGGCCAGTTTGAGGGAAGTTCTGGTGGTTCAGGCCCTAAGGCATTTGACTGCTAACCAGAAACTGGTGGTTCAAACACAGCAGGTACTCCACAGAAGGAAGATGGGGCAACATACTTCCCCAAAGACTTATTGCCTTGGGACCCCAATGGGGATCAACTCAGTGGCAGTGAGTTTGGTTTCCGGTATCACTGGAGAGGGGACAAACCTCCATCCCTGCCTTAGAGTGTAGAATCTAGTCAGAGGTTAGGATAAATCCCCAAACTGCTACCACACAGGGCAGAATGCAGCTGCCACAGGTAATCCACATTCAGAGGGGAGATGAAACTCTTATGGCTGAGGTGGGTGAAGGAGGGGGCAGAAGGAGGGAGGAGGTCAGGAAAGCTTTGTGGGAAATGGCACTGAGACAGGCCTTGAAGGACTGAGGTGCATGAGAGCCCTGAGGGGCTGGAGAGGCATTTTAAAGGCAGGGGCTGTGTCAGTAAAGGCATCAAGGGGGGACCATCAGCTATATCTGGGAATAGCAAGCAGGCCAAGGAATGGGATGACAAGGTTAGAAGTCAATGCAGCCATCATGGTGAGAGCTACTGAGGAAAGGGTGAGCCCTGGGCCCATCCTTACCTCAAAAAAAAAAAAAAAAAAAAAAGAAAGAAAGAAAAAGAAAGCCAAAATCACTGCCATCAAGTCAATTCTGACTCATAGTGACCCCCACTGGGTTTCTGAGCCTGTAAATCTTTATAGAAGTAGATTGCCCCATCTTCCTTCCACAGAGCACCTAGTGGGTTTGAACCACTGACCTTCTGGTTAGCAGCCAAATGTCTTATCCACTATGCCATCAGAGCATACTTTATATGGTGTCAATTCCTAGAGGGAGGTTCTCTTACTACCTATCCCATTCTTTCAAATAAGGAAACACGCTCATAGAGGTTACAAAGTCACATGACTGATGAGTGGCAGTAATAGGATTTGACCCAGGTCTGACTGACAGCAGGTCCCACCCGTCCTCCTAACTATGAGAACAGCAAGCAATAGTGTTACTAAGCCCTTCCCATCTAAACAAAAAAAAAAAACAAACAAACCAAACTCACTGCCATTGAGTCAATTCTGACTCATAGTGACCCCCTTTCAGTTTCCAAAGTGGTAAATCTTTGCAGAAAGTAGACTGCCCAGTCTTCCTTCTGCAGAGTAGCTATGGGTTTGAACCATCAACCTTCTGGTTAGCAGTCAAATGCCTTAAGCACGCCACCAGAGCTCCTCTTCCTGTCTAACGCACTATCATATCAGTGCACCTGGTCTGGCATTTCACCTCATAGACGTGGAAATTGAAAGGCCACTGGAAGCAAGCCTGACTGGGCCACTTGCACTCCAGCAGGGCTTAGACTCTTAGAATCTCCTCCACTATTCAGAATAGCCGAGGTGGGTGGAACAAGGAATACCAGCACTACTGCAGGTTTTTCTGTGCCCCGCTATCTACTGCTCTGTTTATTGTTACTGCTACAACAGTGTAGGTTAACAAGTTTCCAGTTCTTCTAGTGTTGCTGCTATCCTGGGGCAGACGGCACTGGCTGGACTTAATGTCTCTTGTTAGGCTCAAGTTTGAACTGGACCTTGACGGGTCGGATGCTATCCAGGTACTGCTGGAGTTTCATGGACTCGCGTCTCCAGCGCTCCAGCTTTCTGATCTGGTCAGTCATGAATTTTTTTTTCAAGTGGTCATAGAAGCGGCTCATCTTTTTCTTGGTCTTGTCTAAAGCTCTTGTCTTGTATTTAAAAAACAAACCAAACAAACAAGACAGAGGAGGTTAGGATGACAAGCCATTCCACAGCAAATGAGCCATCTGTGCTGGCAATGTGTGTGTGTGTGTGTGGGGGGGGATATGCCAGCTAGACCCGATAGTCTATAAAAAACTTGACTCACAGAGAACCTGCTTCCCTATTTGTAGAATGTGGGCATTGACCGAGAGAAGCCCTATGATACCTTCTGAGAGTCTGCAGATTTGACAGCTCTACCTGAATACTGGCCAGAGAGAGGCAGAGGGGGCATGGGCTAAAAGGGTATATCTAGTTCCTTTCCCATGCCACCAAGTCCTATAACCCCATCCCTATCACTCACTTGGTGCTTCCCACATATTGCCTGTGACATCTCCTATGTCACATAGAACTCCACTTATTTCTTCTATTATATAACTTCTGTCCTGTCTCCAGCAAGGCTGTAAGCTCTAGGAAGGCACACCCTAAGCCTCTGTTGTTCATCTATTTATTCAAATGAGCTAGCTACCCTAGGAGATACTAAGAAAAGTCAGCCATAGGTCTTTACAGCAACTACAATGAAGCTAGGAAGGTGAGCCATGTGCCCAGATATTTCTAAGCGAGGCTGACAATGGCATGTCCCCAAGAAAAGCAGCACAAAGTTCAAAGATAGGAAACATCCAGAAAAGCTTTGCGGTAGGATGGCATATAATGTGGGACCAGATTTTGAAAGGTGGGGAATTTTCCTCAGAGGGATCAATCGATCAATTGTGGGAGAATAAAAAGGCAGTAATTGCACAGGGAGATAGCTCAAGAGTCAGGAATGCATAGGAAAGAAGGACACAGGGAAGAGGTAACTACAGGAGGAAGTGGGAACAAAGCTGTTACTTGTGTGGATTGCAGTCAATGTTATAAAATAAAATGTATATGAACTACTGTATGGAAAATGAATTTATTCTGTGAACTTTCACCCAAATCACAATAAAAATTAAACAAATAAACAAAACAGAACCCTTAACCAATGGATCACCAGGGTTCCTAACCTGGAAATTGTTGTTAGGTGCCATCAAGTCGGCTCTGACTCATAACGACCTTAAATACAACAGAACAAAACACTGCCCGGTCCTGTGCCAACCTCACAATCCTTGTTACACCTGAGCCCATCGTTGCAGCCACTGTGTCAATCCATCTTGTTGCTGGATGTCCCCTTCTTTGTTGACCCTCCACTTCACCAAGCATAAGATCCTTCTCCAGGGAATGGTCCCTTCTGACAACATGACCACGGTAAGTGAGACCAAGTCTGGCCATCCTCGCTTCCAAGAAGCATTCTGACTGCACTTCTTCCCAGACAGGTTTGTTACTTCTTTTGGCAGTTCATGGTACTTTCAGTATTCTTCACTAACACCACAATTCAAAGGCATCAACTCTTCTTCCTTATTCACAGTCCACCTTTCACATGCATATGAGGCAACTGAAAATACCATGGGTTGGGTCGGGTGCACCTTAGTCTTCAAAGAGACATCTTTGCTCTTCAACACT